CTGCCAAACTGCAGAGATAGGGGGTGTCTGCCACCCCATGTGGCCAGCTACCCTATCAACATGAGTCATTTGGGGCTGGCTGGAGGAAACTGCCTTCCCTCCCCAATAAGCATAGGCTGATTAAAGAATTCTGCATTGCCTTCTTCTACTCAGAAAGTTAAAATGCGGGAATTCTCTGATGGGAGAAGAATCTGAAGATTTATAAGAGAATGGCAACTAAAAGCTCCATTAGGACCCTTTCTAAACTATTTCCATTTAAGTGGAGAGGCAAATAGCCCCCACTGGCATTTATATTTAGAATGGGCTGAGAGGGAGGAAGAGCGCATTTTGAATACTGAAGGTCTCTGACATACCCATACATAAATCATTTCAGGGTGAGGTGTCACAGTGCATCTTCTGCTCTGCCCTTTAAATGGACTGGACCCCAACATCGCATTCTCCTCAGGGTAGGGAGTGGGGGTGGGGGTTCCATGGAGAACAAAGAAGTCAGCACTTCCTTTACCCCCTCTCCCGCAACTAAAGACAGATGTAGTTTAAAAAAAAAAATCTGCATTGTAACACTCATTCACTTTAAAATACCAAACTGAAATAGGTAGACTTAATGATCATGTTTGAGAGACCCTAAATCTACACAGAGATGTATCTATTTAGAAGAACATGGAAACAAATCTGTTAAAGAAAGGCTAAGTGTGTGATTGATGGCATTCACATGTGCTTTCATTTGTAAAGCTACATTTATTTAGTGACTGCATCCTTATAAAGGAAATCTGGGTAACAGGGGCAGTTCCAATTTTTTTTTTCATCTGCCAAGTCACTGTTTCAAATTTTTAAAAAAATAGGCTTATGGTAACTAAAGAACGCACAAATCACATACAATAAATAAATAAATAAAAAGCCAGCTATTTTATCCTTTCAGTGTGGTTAGCAAGGCTCCTTTGTGTCTACAAATTTCCCTGGGTGGTGCTGTTGCCAAGAAATTCTAATTCACGACAAGGTTTTCTGCAAACTGGGGACAGAGGCAAACCTGCGGGTGCAGGGACCCTACAGTTTGCTTTGTCTTTCTGGCTGAGCCAGCACCTGGATGCTCGGGCCTGTAGAAGGCAGTGCAAAGGCACGATCCCCGTGCAGGAGAAGCAATGTAGCTCACAGACCAAATCCTATCCCTTGCACCATGAGGCTGTTCTTGGAAGGCAACCATTTTTGTAGGTTGTCCCCTAGAGATGCTTCATACCAAAGGCCCTTGCAAAAAGTGGTTCAGGGTGCCTGTCACCAAGATGAAATTGCAGTGTTATGGGGACGCTGCAGTTCTTACAGTAGCCAAGTATGCCATTAGTTTAAAACAATGGGAGAGTGGGGGAGGAGGGAGGAACGTTCTATGATTTATTTATTTGTTTCCAGTAGCAGTGGAAAATTTTCTCTGAGCACAAGGGAGGCCTGAAACTGACCCCATCTGCCAATTATGAATCAGCATTAACAACAAACATAATTCCATAAGAGTTTTCCAGTAAACACACCATGCTCCTCAATGGCATGAAGCAAGGCTAAATGTAAATAAGACTTAGAACATCATTACTTGACCTGCACTCATGAAATAGCAGTCTAGGTGTGAAGAATATATCCAAATTCTAAAAGTGTTTGTAGCTTCCCAAAGAAAAATAACCATCAATATTGTATTAAATCCTTCTTCATCTTCCAAATCAGCGCATCCAGAAAAATCATGATTTCTGATGGCGACAGAACTCATGAATGGGTCCCCCATTATCCATCATCAAGTGGGACCCTATACACTACACTAGCTTCTGTCCTACCTTTGACTTTTTTTTACTTTTGCTCAGACAGCTCTTGGAAAATTTCCTGCAAGTTTCCGAAGGGCTTAAGGCTGGTGGCCTTAGGAGTTGTGCGTCAGCTGAATTCCATAAAATAATAGACCACATAAGCACAGCGTAATTTACAGTTATATGACAGGCAGGGATGATGTTACTTGAGCCAAGTGCTTAAGTATGCAGTCAGAGCCCAGGAATGGAGAGCTGTTAATGTAGGATGTCCATCTGGATTTAAAAATTATACCGGCAACAATTTTCAGAGTTGGCACTGGATGTGGCTAAGACATGATTGTCCCAAAACCCAATGTCAAAATGATGATCCCTGTGACAGGAGATCTATGACAAGCTCACTGACTGTTAAGCAGGACAATTATCTCAGGCAAGAGTTTAAAATAAAACCTCCATCCTTAATTTTCAAATGCACAGATGTTCTTGGGTTTATCATCCAAGCCAGTCTTTCTTACGAACCAAATCAGATTATTGGAATCTCTGCATTTCGCTCATCTCCTCAAGGTACACTGTTCACTTTCAGAAGTACATCTAATAATTGCTCCTCATTTGACCTCTAAAATCTGATTACCCCAGAGCATCAGGAAACTTCCTCCGGCCTGGGGTTCTTTGCAGCAACCTTCCTGAGCTGATTTGAGCAAAGGAGACTTACAATTTCACCATCTGATGGTTGATTTGGAACCAACAGTTGCATGTAACCATATTCCCCTCCTTTATACTCAGAAGCGGCAGAGGGGAGGGCGTAGGGAGAGAGGAAGAGATAGAAGTTGGAGGTATGTCAGCAGTATGAACTTGGGAGTCCCACTCACCTTTACAGAAAGCATTTCTGACTAAGGAGTCCAGAGAAGCAAGCTCCTTGGAGTGACAGCTCACTTAGGACTGTGTTCTCACAAGTTACATTTCAGTATAGACGATGAGCATGCTTCTGAAAGAGCATGGTAAACGATCTGAAGGTGAGGGTAACAGGCAGTAGGACAGGATTAAGGCAAGAAATAGGGAAGGAGGTGCAGTGGGCTGAAATTCCTTTGCCTACAGATAGAAACTAAGCTAGAGGTTCCTTGAAGACGGTGAGATGAAGTGAGGAGGAGCGAGGTTGGGAGGTGGAGAGAAAAGCAGAGAAGGCGTCTGAGGAAACAATAGATCTGATACATCCTCTAATTATCAAACCAAAGATGTTTCCTCATAGATCTAGATGTTCTCATGGATGGTCTAACCAGATCTAGAAAGGCAGGTTTCCTCTGGAGAGGCCTTCCCCAAAAAGCAGGCTTTACTACTGTGAAAACTTGAACAAAAACAAAGTTGGGTGATTCATCAGGAGGGAACGTTGTAACAAATAAAGCCAACTTTCTTTCCTCCAACCCTACTTAACAGTTAGTCACAAACAGGGGCTGCCTAAGTCAACAGATTCTCTTCCCTAACCAGTCTAGACAGTTGTTAATAGGCAACCAATTCAACACTAGTGGGCTGACAGTGTGAAACGAAGACTATTTCTGAAAATGAAATTCTGGCAACCTTTTGGTTTAATTAGCATGTGAAATAAAAGGAGGAAAAAGCTCCAGTGAGACCCTTCATGAGGCAGTCTCATCAAGGATGGAGGAAAAGGATGCACTGGAGAAATGCCTTATGCTAAAAAAAAGTGTGCGCTGTGTGTGCCTTTAGAGAAAGACAAAGTCAAACACATCTGCCAGCATCCTCAGGCAGGAATGCATGTGTGGACCCACAGACACCAGAGACCAGTATCCGGAGAAACTCCAGCCTGGAAGAATCAGGGGAGTAACAGCAATTAGTAACAATGGTACAGAGGATCACCTCCTTACACCGAAAGCCAAACCTCACTCGATAAAGCAGCGACTATTACATCCTTAGACTCAAGCCGGCAAACCCCGCTTTGGATGCTGGCAGAGGAAATCCAGCCGTTCATTAGCCTTAACAAGCTGCTGTCACGAAGCAGAGAAGTTACATGAGCAGCCACACATCAAGCCTCTCGCAGCCCTCCCCAAGGGCAAGCACGTTTCTCCAAGACGGACTGTGCACACTCACACTTCCACCGTGCAAATTTGAATTGTCTTCTTGGACTTTCCATGATACACATTGTAGAATTTTGAAAGAATACTAAAGCATACTCGTGTCCCTCCACCTTCCCCCCATCCACCATCTTTCCTGAAGAATGTCCCCTCAGCAGCTCCCAATCCTTACTGAGAAAAACCACTGTTTCTGCAGCAGATCTAGCACTTTCCACTGACCAGCACTTTCATTATTCCACTTCACAAAGCCCAGTGAACTTGTCACCAGCCCCACTTCCCCCTCCTTGGGACATCTAGCTAACTTGGCATTGGTGCCCTTCAGCATCTTAGGAGTTTCTTAACTAGTCCTCTAAGACAAAGTCAGAGGCATGGAAGCACACACCACCCTTTGTCGGAGGTTGTGCTAAGTGGAGAGGGACACCAACCGAGAGAGGGAAGCAAGGACACACGCAGAGAGTGATCTCTTTCCGTGGATCTTGCACTGGGGAAACCTACAATGCATGGTCAGCACTAGATAGATATATCTTCCCGTCCTCCTCCAAGATATCCTTGAGTACCTTTTATAACTGGATTCCTCGTCCTCCTGCCCACCTTCTAATCTCAAAATCAAGTTCCTATTCTTTATTGACACTCGCTAATTACTAGGAAAACACCCCGCTTCGCTCTTACCGCCCCCCCCACCCCCCCGCATCTGACGGCCGTCAGCACCAGTTGAGAGAGATGAACCTGATTTAAGGTACCAAGTAGGTACAGCTAGAGCATGTAGGGACGCGGTAACTGTCTGCGATGGCTCGTTAAGCCCCAAACCACCTTCCCACCCGGCTCCTCCGAACCCCAGAAGTTAGGCAGGTCTCTGTTGGGGGGACAGTGAGCCCAACAAAATGTGCACAAGGATGTGTGTTGGTGACTGAAACGCAGGCAGCTCGGACCGGCTGCTCAGCTCGGCACACTATACGAGGTTAGGGGGTGGGTGGAGAGGTAAGCATATGACTGTTTCCGAAAACATTTTCAACAACAGACAGCCAAAAAGGGGGTAAAAAATTAAACAAACAAACAAAAAAATTCACCCCCAAGCCCACACCAACGCAGCCCCTGCGAGTCCGCCGCCACCACACGATTTACACAAGTAATTTAAATCATTCACCTGCTGCCAGGTCTCCTCCAGGGATGGCAAAGCTGAGAAGTAGCCGGTGTCGTGGACAAGTTGTAGCTCCTGGAATATACTATAACTAGCCAACACGTCCATGTTGCTGCTGCCGGGCAAAACGGGAGGAGAAACCCTCCCCCGAACACAGTTGGGTCTGTTTGTTTGTCAGTCTGTCTGGCTCACCCCCCAAGAAGGCAGACATCCAGTGGCCCTTTTGTTTTGTTTTGTTTCAGTCAACTAAAAAGGAAAAAAAAAAAAAAATCAATGCAGGAGAGAGGGAGAGAGGAGGTGAGAGAGGAGAGACTGAGTGGGGTGGATGGAGAGAAGCATCCAGCGTGTACAGTGCAGACGGCTGCCAGGAAAAGGGGACTTCTCCACGGGAGTAACAATTCCCTTCCAGGGCTCTAATCACTCCAGCTCGTGGATCAGGAAGGGGGATGCAAACTCACTGATACGAAGCTGCCATCTATTTCTGCAGCGCTGTTCGCTCCTAATGCAATCTTTGCTCTTTATTTTGGGAGGTTGCATTTTTTTTTCTCGCGATCGCTTCTCTCCCCCCCGCTCTCCTTCCCTCCCCACCCCCCACCCCATCCTTGCTAGTTTGTAGTCTCTCCCCCTCCTCCTCCTTTTCTCCTCCTCCTGCTCTTCCCCCCTCCCCAAACTCCCTCCCTCCGCCCCGCTCTCCGCGCAGCCGTGGGATCTCGGAGGAGGGCGTCCAGTAGGCCGCGTGTGACCATGTAAGGTAAACAGGGGGCTCATGAAGTCACTCAGGACCAATGGGGAGCGCGGAGCGGGACCTGGGGCGGGGCTCGGCCCTGGCGGCGGGCGCCGATTGGCGAGCTGCGAATCTCCCCGCTGCCTTACAAGGCGGTGCGAGGCGAGCTATTTTTAGAGGGCTATATAAAGGGGTTGAGGCGGCCGCACAGCGGCCTGGTAGCGTGAGCGCGAGGGACGGGGAGGGTCGCGGCGACACTCGCGCCGGCTCCCGGGACGCCGAGGCGGCTGGGTTCGGGCCGCACGCCGGCCTTCGACCTCCGCTTTGGTGCCAGATGGAGCCCCGGGCGGCCGGAGCCGGCGCCCCTCAGAAGGGAGAGGGTCGCGTATCGCCATTCTGGCGTGGACGCGGCCGGTCAGGAGGTGAAAGTCCAGAATGCGGGGTTAGGATGCCTCCTGGAGGAAGAGCAGGGAGGGAGGACGAGGAAGCCGGCGTGGGGACGAGGGCCAGCCACGTCCCACTCCGCCTCCCTCCCAGGCCCGGGGGCGGGGAACCGCGGGGGAGGGGCAGCGCAGAAGAGTTCCACAGTTCCTAAAAAATAAACCGGAGCGGGGCGGTGGGGGAAAGTCACCAAAAACCCCTTCACGAATTCCCCACCAGTTACCGGGGTGCAGAGAAGAAGCGCCGGAGGAGGAAGTGCCACACAATGGAACAGAACAAAGGGGAGCGGCGCGCAGACAGCGGCCCGGGGCCCGCCCCCCGTCAGGCCCCGCCCCCAGCCCGCCGGCGCCCCGGAGCGCGCCGCCGCGCCCCGACCCCCTGCCCAGCCCCCGCGCTGGGGACCCGGGGAGGGTCGGAGTCCCAGTTAGAGTTGACTGGAAGGGGACATAGTACAAGAAGTGTGTGTTAAAGACAAGAGAGGGAGTCCGGGTAGACGTGAGGTGCTGGCAGGAGCAGGCAGCTTGTTTGGGGTCTTAAACGTGAGCCCCCCCCCTCCCCCCTTGTGACTTGGAGAGAAAGTGTCAGTCAGCCAAGCTGCGGTGGTGAGAAGAGAACCCAGATTGTGTTTTTGATACAGCTAACGTATATAGAGATGTATAGATCTAGACCCTATTATCTCTTAGCTGAAAGCCCTACACTATGCCAGTTGCTAGGGTTGACCAGTTATTTGCTTGACCTTAAATGGTTAGTGTGGCTGAAGCTTCCCCAAAATGCTCTGTGAGCTGAACTTCCACTTTTGGAATGATTGCAGAATTTGGTACTTAGAAATGAGAAGCTTAAATCAACTCATAATGGAAGAAACACATCCGTCTTAATCGCCCTTCTCAACTGTCTCCTTCTGACAATGTGGAACTCCATATCATAATATTTGAAAGATTCTACTTTATAGGACGAACACAATTTGAAATTCAATATTTGCGAGAGGAAATTAAACAGGAATTATTGAGTTGAGGAAAGTTTATTTACTTTTTGATGTCCTGCATTCTCTTGGTCAAATCTACAGCATCCAGTGTATGTGTATAAAATTGGTGCACTTACTGCAAGTGTATGCACAAGAAATGCACAAGGATCTTGGTGCATTTAGTGTTATGTATACACATTCGTGGTGCTTGGAGATAAATGGTATAGAAAGGTTAAAAGTCCTACATGAATAAGGTGATATTATGATAGCGCACATATAAGTGCCAGTATGCAAGGCTATGTGGGCCTTTCCTGTAAGCAGAAACCCACTTAGAGCCATCACACCCCAATTAATGCATTAACTGGATCCTTATGACCATTGATAGTGCCATTTACTAACGGTGTGTCTTTGAGCCAATTACTGGCTCAGACCCTCTGGCTACCTTTCTCAGAAACAGGAATAGTGGTACCTACTTGCCTGATCCTTATGAACAGTTAAGATGTCCTAAAATAATGTTTGTAACAGACCTGACATACTGTATCTGATGCTATTAGGTGAATACTAAATGTTAGCGGTTATTATCTTCTGGCTTTAGCTGAGTACATAAATCTGAACTAATCAGGCTCCATGGGAGGATATACCAGAGTCTTAGGGAAGGAGGAAGATAGAAACCTCTTGCCTATTTGGAATACTGTCTCCCCCCACCCCCACTTGCTCTTCTGACTGGGTGGGGATAGGGAGGAGACCACCCAGAAATACTGGGGCAGAAGATATGTTCAAAAGTTATAGGGGAAGAAAAGGAAGCCAAATATAGGAAACTCAGGAGGCAAAAGACAAGGGAAGACCAAAGAACCTAATGTTTGATGTTGGAAACTCAAGTGAAATATTTTTGTTTTTGTATTATGCTATTACCATTTTGAATAAAATATGACATACCTGTTAATTTAGGAGTCCAAAGATTTTGCAAATAATATTTATTAAGCATGATGTGTATGGGCACATAAACATTTTATATGCAATTCCACCTTTCATCTTCATGACAATCCCAAGGTGAGTGTTTTTATTATCCCTAACTTTATGGATGAAGATACCCAAGCTTGGAAATTCTCAGTTGCTCAAGGTTACACAACCAGGAAGCGACCAAACAGGGGCTCAAACCTAGGAGCACCTGACTTCCAAGATTGTGTTCTGAATGGGGCTTTCTGCAAGGTAAAAGACTGGGTTTCTTGGTTTTAAGTCAAGATTTGTTTATAAAAAACTTCTTCAGTGTGGAAAAGGGAGGCTTCCATTGAAGTGTTTCTCATGTAAATTGTCATACTAATAGAAGAATTCAACCAAAATTTTAGTGTAAATCCTAAGACCCTCATTATGACTTTTTTCAAAGTTTCTAGAATTCATTCTAAGAGATTTTTTCCAACAAGGCTCTCCTAAAGGGACGTTTTCAAAATTAGTCATGTTTAGCTAACTTTAATAGCTTAGAGACACTTGGTTCACATTGCAAAGCACATGCAAAGGATCAGAAGGTACACAATAATCAACAAATTAAGATCACAAGGGAACTTTTGCAGTGAAAAAACAAAAATAAGTAGCACTGCTATAACTATTGCATACTGAATGCTTTCTCTATACCTGGCATTTTAAACGTGTTCAAGTCTGATATTCACCACAGTCTTTTGAGGGAGTTATTATTGCTCCATTTTCACAGATGAAAATACCAAAGGGTATTCAGAGGGTTCACATAATTTGCCCATTGTCACATGTCTCAGTGGCAAAAGCTGATTCAAATATGTCTGACTCCAAATTTACTCCAAAATCTATGTCCCCCACATGTGTTGCCTTAGAAGACACTGATGATACTTTTAAAAATATCACCCTTTGAAAATCATCGTATAGGAAACACCTAAGAGTAAATAATAAGTTTATTTTATTATGAGGATATTTATGACCAAAATAGTAAAAATTTTATATGTAAATAGAAACAATCAAGACATTGGACTGTTACTACCAGAAAAGTTCTGTTCCATAAGTACAGGAAGTGCTTATTATCCTAGTGTGATTAGCACTGAGAAAGCTTCCTTTAAGTCTACTTAAAACAGAGACCAAATTTCAGAGCAATTAGTGAAAAAAGGTTTGCCAAGACTTTTTTTGAAAATAAAACTCAACATTTTTAAAACACATTCTAGCCTATATTGGACAAAATTTATAAGTACAACTATATGCAAATTGTGAAATGAATAAATAGTACATCAAGATGAGTATTGTTGGCTTAATTTTTCCTGGACAATATGAAGCACCTAACAATATGCTTTATTTCATGTTTGACTTTTAGAGAATAATCAGAAATAGGATAATCAGAAACATTTGTAAAAATGTGTGAGAGCTTCTTCAGTTTTCCCAAGGGTCTCAGTTAATCCTTTGATATTCAGGCTGTTCTCTTCTGAAGCACCCATGTAGTCATCCCAGTTGATTTTACCTTCATTTGTTTGTTTAACTCTGTAAATCCTCATGAGCCAGCTTTACCGGTCTCACTTTTATTGATCTTGTACCTTTTGCAAGATTTGCCCCTTCACTTGTAATAGAATTGAGTGTATTTGCATTGTACTATAAATGTTTACCATCAAGGGGGGAGGAGCGAGGAGTGTGGAGTTTAAAAGAGATGTTTGAAGGGGGCAGTAATGTATAAGTGGCCGTATCATTAATAATACTTTCATATAGTATTGACTTTTGCTTCTCTTTACAGTCTTACTATAATGGAAGAAAATGTGAACTTAGGAAGCATGCCTTGCTTGTATCAGAGAAAACAAGAGTGCCAAGGAGATAGAAATAGAGATGCCAAAGAGTGCCAAAGAGACTCTGTGAGAGGCAGTTTGAATCTGAAAGAAAATGTATGTGGCCATGCACACAGTGACATACATACATACAACCAGAGAGTTATTTCATGATTGAAAAAAGAAATGGCAGCTTCATCAGGCCTCTCATGTTCTGGACAAAATATTCCTTGAGAATACACATCTCTTCTTGTTTTCATTCTTTACTTACTCTCAGCTCATAATTTGGCTTCCTACTTGTTCTGCCTCCAGGGAAAGAATGTGCTGGTTACAACCACAAGAGTCTGGTGGTCACTGTGACAGTTCTGGTTGTTTTTGTCCACACACAGTCCTTTTAGTTGTACATGTGTTCTTTGTGAGTTTAGTTAGTATGGGTCTGATTCCCTGGGTGTATCCAGTTTTGACACTCTTACATGTTGAGGTTTCTGGATATGATGAGTAAAAAAACAAACAACAGAAACAAACAAAAAAATTCTTGGTAAATTAACATGTAGCCTCTTGCCATTGACTTTTCAGAATTCTGTGGGTATGCCATAGTTTAATAAAAGCATTTCTTTTTTTTAATCAGATGTTAAAGTCGGCCCTGAATGTTGAATCTGCACTGCAGAGAATTATACT